GGTCAGGGGTAGGCAACCTTGGCTCTTTTATGACTCGTGGACTTCAACTCCCAGAATTCCTGAGCCAGCCATGCTGAGGGGAAAGGGAGAGGTTTCCAAGCTGAGCCGTGCTGGCTCAGGAATTCTGGGAGTTGAAGTCCATGAGTCATGAAAGACCCAAGGTTGCCTACCCCTCTTTTATGACTCGTGGACTTCAACTCCCAGAATTCCTGAGCCAGCATGGGGGAATTATGGCCCCTTCATGACTCGTGGACTTCAACTCCCAGAATTCCTGAATCAGCCATGCTGAGGGGAAAGGGAGAGGTTTCCAAGCTGAGTTGTGCTGGCTCAGGAATTCTGGGAGTTGAAGTCCACGAGTCATGAAAGAGCTACGGTTGCCTACCCCTCTTTTATGACTCGTGGACTTCAACTCCCAGAATTCCTGAGCCAGCCATACTGAGGGGAAAGGGAGAGGTTTCCAAGCTGAGCCATGCTGGCTCAGGAATTCTGGGAGTTGAAGTCCACAAGTCATAAAAGAGCCAAGGTTGCCTACCCCTGCCCTGGATTAAACAAACCACAGCTGGATGGGTTCATACAACAGAGTCAGCCACAAACCAGAAGTGGGCAGCCGCAGCCTTCAAATCCACATACTCATGTGGGAAAGTCGTGCAGACTAGTGCGATGCCTTGAAAGACCGCCAGCAAGGTTAAAAAAAAAAAAACGACAAACAAAATCTCCCAAACGTCCTTCCCTAACTAGGTGGACGTGAATAAAGTGGATTCACCCACTTTGTTTCTGTTTCACAGACATAAACATGCACGCACACACACCAAGGCTAAGCACAGCCCTCGGCCACCAAAAGATTGCCTGCCATGCCCACAACGGTAACTGACAAAACAGAACAGTTGGGTTCCCCCAAGAGGCTAAGAGTCAAAGGCAGTGATGGCGAACCTTTTAGAGACCGAGTGCCCCCAAAACGCCCCCCACCCGTCCCCGCTCCGCCCGCTGGACCACCCACTATCTCCACGGCCTGCCACTGATCACCCAGGCAGCCCAGCAGCGCCATAGTGGCCACGCCCTCCGCCCATGCCCCGCAGCAGCATCTGCGTGCGATGGGGCGCAAGGGTGGAGTCTTGTCCCCACTGCCTGGCTACCATGTCCTTGGCTGCGCTGCTTCACATGGGCTGCGCCCGGGGGCAACTCTCCTCCGGGGAGGGGGGCTGCTGGCGAAGAGGGGGCCGTGGGAGGAGGCGGGGCTGGAGCAGTGGTGTGTGTGTGCCCACAGAGAGGGCCACCGAGTGCCACCCCATATTTCCTTTCTGGTGGCGTGGTCAAGCAGCTGAGCTGGATCCCCCCCCCACCTTCTTCAGAAGCTATTCAGACTAAAATCTTAAAAGTTATGAATCGCTGCAATTACATTCACTAAAACCATAGTTTGCTTTCATACATGTTCACCTGGTTAGGTATAGCCTGACTCGCTATGCCAATGCAAAATGAGCTAGATCAGTGGTGGTGAACCTATGGCATGCGGGCCAGAGGCGGCACTCGGAGCCCTCTGTGGGCACGCGTGCCGTTGCCCCAGCCTCGCCTCCCCCCATGACCCCCTCCTCACCAGCAGCCCCCCTGGAGGAGAGTCGCCCCCGAGCGTGGCCCACGCGGAGTAGCGCAGCCAAGGACATGGCAGCCAAGCAGCGTAGACAAGACTCTGCCCTCACGCCCCATCGGGCACAGTTGATGCTGCGGGGCACGGGCAGAGGGCGTGGCCGCCATAGCACTGCTGGGCTGTCTGGGCGATCTGCGGTGGGCCCTGGAGGTGGTGAGTGGCCCTGCGGGCAGGCGGGATGGGGGCGGGGCAGGGAGTGGAGTGGTGGCGGGGCCAGTTTTGGGGCACTTGGCCTCTAAAAGGTTCGCCATCACTGAGCTAAATTGTGACCCGCACCGGTTCACAACGTGCCAGAAACTGGACTGCACAAACAAGCAAAGCCCCATCCATGCATGTGCGGGGTGCAGGCAACACGCAAAAACGCACCCTCTCCAGTCCATGAAAAAAAAGCTCTCATCACGCAACCGATCCCTGGCGCCCCAAAGATGTAGGACTCCTGGCTTAGAGCGCTGTGCGAATGCAGCCAAGCTGTCTTGCCCCAGACTTGCCAAGGTCTTAAGTAAGGGCACAATTTGTGCCTGGGGTGTCAGCGGACCGCCTCCCTCTCTCCCTGCTCACCTCTAAGTCACTGGCTGTGATCTGGTTCAGGTGAATAGACGGGTGGGAGATGGCCCCCTTCACCTCGAAGTCACCGCCGCCCATGCGGCTCCAGGTCTGTATGGAATCCAATTTGTTTCCATCGAGCGGTTGCTCAGCGCCCTGAAAAACACACACGCACAAATGAAACGGGCTTGTGGGAAGAAGAAGAAGAAGAAGAAGAAGAAGAAGAAGAAGAAGAAGAAGAAGAAGAAGAAGAAGAAGAAGAAGAAGAAGAAGAAGAAGAAGAAGAAGAAGAAGAAGAAGAAGAAGAAGAAGAAGAAGAAGAAGAAGAAGAAGAAGAAGAAGAAGAAGAAGAAGAAGAAGGCGGCAAGTGAAAAGATGAGCGAGGCGCCAGTCAGCTTTTCACGCAGCTGCTTTTTTTTTTTTTTTTAATAAAAAAGAGCACCGTGTTCCATCCGCCGCTTGGCAAAGCTGGACACAGCAGCTGCCTTGCAAAGGTGGCCAGGATGGAGTCGGGGGACCCCCGACGGCCCTCGAGTCGAGGGTTGTGAAAATGGCTTCTGGTACTGGCGCCCAAATAAAAAGACATCTTTTGATGACTCAGCTCTTGGGACAAGGGCCCAAGTTTCACCAGAATTATTATTATTATTATTATTATTAATAATAATAATAATAATAATAATAATAATAATAATAATAATAATAATAATAATAATAATAATAAAGTTGGAAGGGACCTTGGAGGTCATCTAGTCCAACCCCCTGCTCAGACAGGAAACCCTATACCATTTCGGACAAATGGCTGTCCAGTCTCTTCTTAAAAACTTCCAGTGTTGGAGCATTCACCACTTCTGGGGGCAGGTTGTTCCACTGGTTAATTGTTCTAACTGTCAGGAAGTTTCTCCTTAGTTCTAGGTTGCTTCTCTCTTTGGTTAGCTTCCACCCGTTGCTCCTTGTCCTGCCTTCAGGCACTTTGGAAAATAGCTTGACTCCCTCTTCTTTGTGGCAGCCCCTGAGATATTGGAATACTGCTATCATGTCCCCCCTCGTCCTTCTCTTCATTAAACTAGACAGACCCAATTCCAGCAACCGTTCCTTATATGTTTTAGCCTCCAGTCCCCTAATCATCTTTGTTGCTCTTCTCTGTACCCTTTCTAGAGTCTCAGCATCTTTTTTACATCGTAAAATGGCAACGAGGTGTCAGCCATTACTTAATAAATAAGTAAGTAAATAGGATTGGGGGCAGGGGGAGGGGGGCTTGTGGATGCCCTGAGGGTAAATATCACTCTGGCAAGGATCTGCCTGGAGGAAAAGGCTGAGAACCACATTGTACAGCAGTCTTCCTCAGCTTCTAGACCAGTGTTTCTCAACCTTGACAATTTTAAGGCATGTGGACTTCAACTCCCAGAATTCCACAGCCAGCAAAGCTGGCTGTGGAATTCTGGGAGTTGAAGTCCACATGCCTTAAAATTGTCAAGGTTGAGAAACACTGTTCTATCTAGACAGACTTAATTCCTGCTCTTATTAGGCCCAGCAAGAGCAGGCCCTGAACAATGCGCAAGCGCAAAGCTAACAAATGTCATCTAAGCACAACCTGTGCAGGTGCTCCTCAGTTTACGACCACCTGTTTAGTGATCAAACTTACAATGGCCTTTTTTAAAAAAAAGGACTTTTCACACTGACTGACAAGGGTGGTAGCATCCCTGTGGTCACGTGATCAGAATTCGGATGCTTGGCAACTGGCATGTATGCATTAACAGTGGCGGTGTCCTGGGGGGGAGGGTGTCACGCGATCCCCTTTTGCAACCTTATGACAAGCAAAAGTCGGTGGGGAAACCAGATTCACTTAACAACCGTGTTACTAACGACGGCAGTGATTCACTTAACAACGGTGGCAAGGAAAGTTGTAAAATGGGGGCAAATCTCATTTAACAACGGCCTTGCTTAGGAATGGAAAATCCGGGCTCAATTGTAGTCATTAAGTCGAGGACTGCCCGTACAGACGGTCTTGTGAGACACCCTGGTGGAGGACAGAGGGATCCCCAGATGGGTCCATGACCTGCCTGGCTCTTATATCAGGGAAATTCTTCCTTCTTTTATTTCTTTCCTTTTTTTTTTTTTAAGTTCCCCCTTGGCATCTTATCCAAGGGCCCTTCTTGCACTATGAAATCCAGCCAGGTGAGAGAAAAAACTAAACCACTCACCTTTTTCAAATGTTTTTCCCGGGTACCTTTTAACTGGAAAGAGAAAGAAAGAACAAATGTGAGAATGATAGACCAGAGCGTGTTACTTAAAGTAACCTCTTCCGTTATCAAAAGTAAGGAATTTGGGGTTGAGAATATTGAAAAAACAAAACAAAACCGGAGAGCCAAATTAAGCCCTTAAAAAGTTCAGAGATCCAAAATGTTTTCCCTCTGGCTAGGGAATTCTGGGAGTTTTAAAAAGTCCACGAGCCCTTAAAGTTGCCAACTTGGACCCTCCTGATTTTGTGCACGGGCAAAAGTGTGACTTGCTAACACATTTTTGGGGGGAGTTGTCAGAGCTTTCCCAGAATGAAAGTGGTCAAAACGACCTGGAGGACTGGGATCCTATTCTCTCCATTTCTGTTGGGACTGTGACCCTCGGCGTGCTGCACAAAAGCCCAGGATGGCTCTCAAATCCGCAGCACTTAACATATCCATAATCCAGAGATTCCTACCTTTAAGACTGGAGTGGAAAGAGGTGTAGTCCGTACAGGAAATACAAACTGGGATAGCGCATTATGGGTAGAGGCGGAAAGTCATAAGGCAGTGATGGAGAACCTTTTAGAGACCGAGTGCCCCCAAACCAGCCCCTGCCCGCCATCCCCGCCCCTGCCCACTCCGCCCCCGCCCACAGGGCCACCCACCGCCTCTACGGCCTGCCGCAGATCACCCAGGCGGCCCAGCAGTGCTATGGCAGCCTCGTCTTCCACCTGTGCCCCGCAGCATCAACTGCGCGCGACAGGGCGCGAGGGTGGAGTCATGTCCCTGCTGCCCGGCTGCCATGTCCTTGGCTGCACTGCTCCGCGNGGGGGGGGCTGCTGGTGAGGAGGGGGCCGTGGGGGGAGGCAGGGCTGGAGCGATGGTGCGCGTGCCCACAGAGAGGGCTCTGAGTGCCGCCTCTGGCACGCGGGCCATAGGTTCGCCACCCCTATCATAAGGCAAGACTAAGTATAACCCCTGATGTAGTTAGCACGGTGACTTCAGAGAATCAGAAAGTGGCAATAGTAGCGCCAAGACCGCAAATTAGGATGTGGCCATGTGATCTCAATGGGTATGGATCCATGATCACATGGAGGGCCACCCATGCTCCCCGACAGCATCAGGTGACCCAGCGAGGTGAGGTCAGAAAAACTGAGTAGCCAAGAGGCCCAAATGTTATTTATTAAGAGTTATCTGTAGGCTGCATATTCAGTTTGCAATAAAACAACAGAAGCACTGCTAAAACCATTTAACAACCAACCCCGTCACAACTTCTGTTGCCCAAGCCAACAGCTCCCCCAACAAATATGCTATCCACCCTCCCAAAAGACCTTGCAGAGAAGCATAACCTTGACTGCTTTGCTAATTAACGGTCTCAGTTAGAACAGAGAAGGGAAAACAACTGAATTGGGATCAAGTAACAGATGTCAAGAACTTTCGGAAGGGAAGTGGAGTAGACACAACAATGATAAAAAATTTGACATCATTAGGAGGCATAAGGGTGTTTGGAGACAAAGGGACAAAGCCTCATAGCAATGGCCCAGGAGCCTATCAGGCACAGATAAAAAAAAAAGTGGGGGATTTTTGGAGTACATGGGAAAAGAGAGGCAGAGTTGAAGAGAGCTAAAACAGATCAAACAAAATTACTTTGCCATGATGAAGAATTAAGTGAGTGGAAAAGGCTACCACAAAATGCAGTGAAGATTGTCAAACTGAGTTGAAGTGATTGGATATCTGTGCTGTAGGTTGAGTCTATCAAACACATTCCTGATGACTGTTTTTATACCCCCCCCCCTTGTAAATCTGCTGAGATCATCTTGCTCAGGGGTAGGCAACCTCGGCTCTTTTATGACTCGTGGACTTCAACTCCCAGAATTCCTGAGCCAGCCATGCTGAGGGGAAAGGGAGAGGTTTCCAAGCTGAGCCAGGCTGGCTCAGGAATTTTGGGAGTTGAAGTCCAGGAGCCGAGGTTGCCTACCCCTGAGCTAGCTGACTAGCATAGGAAGTAAGACCTTTGGACAGTCTAGGAAGAACCTTGTTGGTAGCCCCTCTGCTCCATTGTATGGATTGGAGGACACTGCCCTTCATCTCTAGCCAACATACCCAGGATGCTGAGGAAATGGCTAGTCTGACATGTCAAGAGGGTTTTAAGCTTGCCTGACAAGGGCAGACCGAGTAGGCTAAAGCAGGGGTCCCCAACCTTGGCCACTTTATGACTTGTGGACTTCAACTCCCAGAATTCCTCAGCCAGCAAAGCTGGCTGAGGAATTCTGGGAGTTGAAGTCCACAAGTCAGAAAGCGGCCAAGGTTGGGGACACCTGGGCTAAAGGGCGAGAAGGATCCCAGACTTGCGGACACATGAGCCCTAACAGTCATAGGCTGAGCCCGTGGCCATTCACCTTCTTCTTGGGTCCCGTCTCCGGGGCTGGGAGCTCCTTTTTGCGCTTGTGAGCACCCGTCTGGACCGGACTCTCCTCAGAGGGTGGCGGGGGCAAAGGCGGCGCTGGTGGCAACTTCTTCTTGTTCTGAGCAGGCTCATCCGTCAGCTTCCACCGGACCCCTTCCTCGCCATTGTCAGAACGCCGCTTCCCTGTGCCATCCCCCGAATCCTGAGAGGGTGGGGGCAGGAGAGAGGCAGAAAGCGGCTCACACACTCTTGCGTAGCTTCCCATTTTTGCCTCACGTTTTGCTAAATAAGTCACACAAGGATGCCTTCCCCAGGCACGCTCAGTCAAAAACAAACAACCGTATTATGGCTTAGCCCAGGGCAGGGGTAGGCCACTTCGGCTCTTTTATGACTCGTGGACTTCAACTCCCAGAATTCCTGAGTCAGCTATGCTGAGGGGAAAGGCAGAGGTTTCCAAGCTGAGTCGTGCTGGCTCAGGAATTCTGGAGTTGAAGTCCACGAGTCATGAAAGAGCCAAGGTTGCCTACCTCTGGGCCGGCTCTTTTATGACTCGTGAACTTCAACTCCCAGAATTCCTCAGCCAGCCACGCTGAGGGGAAAGGCAGAGGTTGCCAAGCTGAGTCGTGCTGGCTCAGGAATTCTGGGAGTTGAAGTCCACGAGTCATGAAAGAGCTAAGATTGCCTACCCCTCTTTTATGACTCGTGGACTTCAACTCCCAGAATTCCTCAGCCAGCCATGCTGAGGGGAAAGGCAGAGGTTTCCAAGCTGAGTCGTGCTGGCTGAGGAATTCTGGGAGTTGAAGTCCACGAGTCATGAAAGAGCCAAGATTGCCTACCCCTGGCCTTAGCCCAACCTATCTAATCCTCTCCAATGCTTTCAGGACAGGAGAACGTCGCTCGGAGGCAGGGCTCAGGAAAGCAGACCCGAGAGGGATTTTACGGATGACACATCAAACGGAGCCAACCAAATTGTTCTGCACAAAGACCTCTAAGCAGAGGGGTTCTCTCTGAGAGACCATCCTCATCCTCATCCTCACAGGTAGTCCTTGACTTATGAGCGTAATGGAACCCGGGATCACAGTCTGTAAGTTGTACCAGTTGTTAAGCAGGTCATCGTAGGACTGGCCCTATTTGACGATATATTTTTGTTGGGATCGTTAAGGCGAATGTGGTCGTTAAGTGGACCCATTGTCTGCAATGGGCTTTTTTTTTTTTTTTTTTGGCCAGAAACCAGAAGTAAACACCGGTTCCCAGCCCTCCCCAAAAACCCATAAATCATGGTCACATGACTGCAGGATGCTGCAAATGATCATTGTGGGCAGAGGCAGAAAACATCCAAAATGTGATCACATAACTGGAGAGGAAGGGCGGTAGTCATAGGAACCTTTTGGGGGTCCGTCGGTAACTTTGAACAGTCGCTAAGCGACCGATCATAAGTAGAGGACTACCCTGTCTTAGCTACAGAGGATTATTCTTCATCAGGGGGAGGGGGGGAAACTATAGAAAAAGGGTGTCAATCCAAGGTGTGGCTGTGAATAATATAGAGCACGAAATAAGAAAAATACTCCAGGAGCATTAATTGTTAGAACAATTAATCAGTGGAACAATTTACCTCCAGAATTTGTGAATTCTGCAACACTGGTAGTTTTTAAGAAGTGACTGGGCAGCCATTTGTCTGAAAGGGTATAGGGTTTCCTACCTGAGCAGGGAGTTGGACTAGATGACCTCCAAGGTCCCTTCCAACTTCTTATTATTATTATTATTGAGAGCCAAATGGGTCCTCCTATGTCTCCCCCTCCCGCTTTGCCCTGGCTTCCAAACCAATGACACTGTGGGGCTTCTACCCCACCCGCTCTTTGATTCTCCCTTCTCTAGGATGCCGTTCCCCCCGCCCCACACACACACACACACACACACACACATCAAACCACATACTTTCATTGATTTGCCTTCTCTCTTGCATTTGGGACATTCCCAGCAGTTTGGAATTTCATTGTTGATGACCCCTTCAGCGACTCCCATCTGCAAAGAGAAAGACCGGTGCAAGGTGAAGGGAGCGGGCGAGAGACTCCCGAGAGGGGCCGCAATTATGTAGTGCAGACATGTCAAACACAAGGCCCGGGGGCCGGATGTGGCCCGCGACATGGTTTCATGTGGCCCGCGAACCCATCCTGGAAACAGTGAGGGAACGGCCCCCACTGCCTTGGCCCCGGCCCAGGCCTCCCGGAAGCCAATGTACAATTTTGTGGTGGCCATCTATGCTGAAACGCATTCAATCTTAGCTCTACAAGGCCGTCTAGAAACAGCAAGGGACCGACCCCTGCCACATTGGCCCTGCCCCCTGGGTGCATGCTGGGGAGGTGTCACCCTTTGTGAGGAATGAAGAAATGCACCATCGCTTGGAAGTGGCCAGCAAATGGCCCTTGCCTACTCTTCCAGTGGACCATGCCTTGGCGCTTGCCCCGGTCCCACCCCCTTCTGCCAGAGACCCTCAGATCTGTCCCACTCCTGCCCAGGCCCCCACAGGCACCCTTGATGCAAATGATGAAGAGATGGCCATGTCCACCCAGTAGGTCACACCCACTCCATCCACGCCCACCCAGTAGACCATGCCCACCCTAGCCACACCTACCTGCCCCCCCCTCCCCGAGGACAACCGCAATGCTGATGCGGCCCTCAATGAAATTGAGTTTGACACCCCTGATGTAGTGGCTCCTCCTCTCACCTTCAAGCAGCCTGGATGCACAATCTCGTTGCAAATGGTACACTCCATGAGTGACAGGTTGAACTTCTCCTCTTCGCCCTCCACGGTGTCCTCTTTCCCGGCCTCCCCACAGACCAGGCACACGGCCGTGTGAGGTAGAACTGGCTGCAAGGAGACGGGAGTCAGACGTTAAGTGACACAAAATCAAGCAGGACAGCTCTTTCTACCCCCTAGTAGACATCCATCATCTTTGGGAAGTTTCCTGGAGGCAGCCAGAGTCAGGAGAGGCCGGTCAGGACACCGGCCACAAATCTTCCTTAGCCCATTTTTTATAGCACAGGCCTTCAAACCTGGCCCTTTTTATGACTTGTGGACTTCAACTCCCAGAATTCCTCAGCCAGGCACGCGTGCCTGGCTGAGGAATTCTGGGAGTTGAAGTCCACAAGTCATAAAAAGGGCCAGGTTTGAAGACCCCTGTTTTATAGCAATGGATAAAGCGGCACATTTTAAAAGCAGCACTTAAAAAACATTACAAATTCAAAAGGAAGGGCAGTTTTCAGTTCTCGTCCCACAGGAAGTGTCCCAAACAGGGTGCTTCCAGCTTAAAATATTTTCAGTGTGAAATATTTCGCACCTCTTTGCTTTTAAAACATGGGGCTCAGCCATGGGAAGAAATAGGACAAGATGGAAAAAAGGAGACAGGAGGAGGGGCTCATAGCAGCCTAGTGGATGAAACGTGACTTCGGTCACACGGACACCAGACAGCTCTACACCTGATTTTTCAAAACAACTTCAGACCTGGAGAAAAGACCTTGGATGACTCAGTCCCTGGGCTGCACCATGTCAGGGAAGGGGAGTTGTGTGTGGGGATGTTCAACAAAGAAATGGCTGCATGCAGAACATATGAACTGGGCAGCCACCTTAACATTCTAGCTTTTTCGACCCAATATGGATCGTTTATTCATTTTGCGCAGTACATCTCTCATTTTCCCCTATTTTTACTTGCAGCTCTCCGCAGATTTGAAAGATGCAGAAAAAGCTAAAGATTCGCAAGATTAAACCACATCAGTCTGCAGACAAGAACTAAATGGAAAAACCAGTCGTGTCAAGAAAACTAGTTGAAACTCTTCGGGCAAATTAACTTTCCATGAACTTTAAAGCTTTTTTTTTTTTTTTAAACCCACCGAGAAATATATGCAAACCCCAGAATCGGGATCCTGAATGCAGTTTAGGGGTGAAATATGCATTCTTTTCCTTTTTATTTAAGCTGTCGGGAGAGCTGGAGGCAAAACACGCGCCTCTGTCTCTTTTCTATTTCAATTTGACGATTCGGGGATATTTAGAAGAGGCACAGCAGACCTGGAGCACATTTTTTTTTCATCCTCAACAGGATGAGGAATCTGTGCCCTACGACAACTTGCCACGGCCAAACTCACTGCAGGACCACTCGCCACGGCCAACTTGCCGTGGTACAAGAGTGTCACTAATATTGAAGAAATAGTGGAGTAGAATCATTCAAGAAAGGATGTCAAAGCGGGGACAAAATGAAACGTGAATGACAAAAATTAAAATAATTTTTTAAATTATTTTAAATAATTGAACTGAAAATAATAATAATAATAATAATAATAATAATAATAATAATAATAATAATAATAATAATAATAATAATAAAAATAAAAAAGTTGGAAGGGACCTTGGAGGTCATGTAGTCCAACCCCCTGCTCAGGCAGGAAACCCTATACCATTTCGGACAAATGGCTGTCCAGTCTCTTCTTAAAAACTTCCAGGGTTGGAGCATTCACCACTTCTGGAGGCAGGGTGTTCCACTGGTTAATTGTTCTAACTGTCAGGAAGTTTCTCCTTAGTTCTAGGTTGCTTCTCTCCTTGATTAGTTTCCACCCGTTGCTTCTTGTCCTGCCTTCAGGCGCCTTGGAGAATAGCTTGACTTCCTCTTCTTTGGGGCAGCCCCTGAGATATTGGAACACTGCTATCATGTCCCCCCCTCGTCCTTCTCTTCATTAGACTAGACATACCCAATTGTCCTGCAACAAGTTGGCCACGTCGAGTTGTCCCACAGTGAGTTGGCCGCTCTGCAGGAGTAGAAAAGCCAGACTTTGCACACGCAACAGAAACCCGTGACTACGGGTGACCGTCAGCGTCGGCTGCCCTGCCTCTCTCTCACTCACCGCTGTGCACTGCCTCTGCAGGCAGGACTGCTTCATGCGTCCAGGACCCCCAAACTTCTTCATGTCCTTACAGAAATGGCACTCCCCACACTCTGATCGCAGGCACGCTTTACACTTCCGGCACCGCGTCCGCCGCCGGCGAGCTCCAGCCCCTGCCCCTTTGCTGGACGACATTGGCTATGTCCCGCTTCAGCTACTCTCTGGGCTGCAAGGAGGAAAGGCAAAAGAACAGGCAAACCAGGCAGGTCAATAGGGGGGGGGTCCAGATCGGCAAGCTGAAACTGGCAATGAAGACTGGGGGGGGAGGGGGGGAGAGAGAAGGACATGCAATACAAAAGAATCAAGATTTTCATATAAAGGTAGCCCTTGATTTACAACAGTTCGTTTAGTGATCGTTCACTGAAAAAGTTGACTTGTGACCATTTTTCACACTTACGACTATTGTAGCATCCCCTTGGTCAGGGGTAGGCAACCTTGGCTCTTTTATGACTCGTGGACTTCAACTCCCAGAATTCCTGAGCCAGCATGGCTCAGCTTGGAAACCTCTCCCTTTCCCCTCAGCATGGCTGGCTCAGGAATTCTGGGAGTTGAAGTCCACGAGTCATAAAAAAGCCAAGGTTGCCTACCCCTGTTCTAGATCCTTTTAGGCAGCTATTCACATCCTGGGATAACCATATGGAAATCCCCTTTTTCAGGCAATGGTGGAACATGAAGGAGAACAGATTTCACGTGTGACAGCAGCAAAAACATACACGAAAAGTGCAAGAATATTTCTTCCAGTTTTCAGTTTTGATTCCTGGCCAAATATAAACAGAATTCTGGCCGAAGATTTAATCCATTAATTTGCCCTTTACATGTTACACCACATTTCTGGGACAACACAGTACACTGCTATGGTAATGTGAAAAGTAAAAAAAATAACAATGAATGAGCTTTATGAGCAATTAAGACTTCTTTCACAGCCAAAATAACCAACAATTTACCTGCTATCTAGCCCCACACTTCATTTTATTCCATTTATGCTAAATCCAGCTTGGAAACTTCTGCCTTTCCCCTCAGCATGGCTGGCTCAGGAATTCTGGGAGTTGAAGTCCACGAGTCATAAAAGAGCCAGGGTTGCCTACCCCTGCCCTTGGTCCTGTGATCAGAATTCAGATGCTTGGCAACTGATTCATATTTATGACGGTTGCAGCGTCATGTGATCATCCTTTTGTGACCAGATTCACTTAACAACCATTCTACTAACTTAACAAGCACAGTGATTCACTTAACAACCGTGGCAAGAAAGGTGGTAAAATGGGGCAAAATTCACTTAACAAATGCCTCGCTTAGCCACAGAAATTCCGGGGCTCAATTGTGGCCGTACGTTGAGGACTACCTGTATACGCATTAGGGAGAAAAAGCAAACACATTGCAAGGAGAAGCATGTCCTGCAATCAAAAGCACACATGATCAGCCATCGCCAACGTTGGGCAAGGGGAAAAAAAAATTAAAATTAAGCCCAACAAAACGAATTTGAGTTCAGAAATACTGCATCTCTTTTTGATTTAAGAGAATGGTTTAAAATCAGTAGTACAAGTAGTTCTCAACCTATGACTTACAATTGACCCCAATTTTAATGTTCGGTGAAAATTTAAGTCAGTTTTGTCTTCTTTTACGACATTTCTTGCCACAGTTGTTAAGTGAATCACTGCAGTTGACACGTTAGTAACATGGTTGTTAAGTGAATCTGGCTTCCCCGTTGACTTTGCTTGTCAGAAGGTCACAAAAGGGGATCACATGACTCCGGGACACTGCGACCGTCATAAATACATGCCAGTTGCCAAGCGTCCGAATTTTGATCACGTGACCATGGGGAAGGTGCAACAGTCGTTAAGTGTGAAAAGCAGTCATAAGTATGAACCAGTTGCCAAGCATCTGAATTTTGATCACGAGATCATGGGGATGCTGCAAAGGTTATAACTATGAAAAATGGTCATAAAAAGCTTTTTTCAGTGCCGTTGTAACTTTGAAGTCACTAAACGGACTGTTGTAATTCGAGGACTATCTGTACATTCCCAAGCAAAATAGTTGAGATGATATTAACTAGCACACTGATCAAAGGACATCCGTTCTGTGAAAAAAGAGCCAAATCTAGGGAATAAAGAGTTGGATTTCGTTCTAGCAGGGCCACCCAACACAATTTACAAATGTCATTCTCAAGTTTTCAGTTGATCATAGATCATGAGTTGTCCATTACCTGTGTGAACACTGAGGGTTATGCAAAGAGCTCAGAGGCAGGAACTACTGGAAAGCATAGCAGAATTTCTCTGCTACCTCAACCTTGGATAATTTAGGACAGTGTTTCTCAACCTTGGCAGCTTGAAAACATCTGGCTGGGGAATTCTGGAAATTGAAAATCCACATATCTATAAGTTGCCAAGTATGAGAAACACTGGTTTAGGAGCTAGCTTGGTGAAAACTCCTGCCTCTTTAAAGAACTCTGGGACTGCCTAATAGTTGTTTAAAAAACATTGCTTTAATCCAGAGTTTTTCAACCTTGGCAACTTTAAGATGCGTGGAGGTCAACTCCGAGAATTCCCTAGTCTGAAGGTCATACATCTTAAAGTTGCCAAGTTTGAAAAACACTGAATTAATCGAAGAGCTGAATAGGCTACTCCTTATACCGCTACATACAACAATGCTTATTCAGTTCTGCAACAGGAGAAATTACCCAAACTCACTGGAAGAAGCTCTCAACATGCACAGAGAAACACTTTTCCTCTCAAGAACAACATCAAAACTTTTGCGTGTTCCTAAAAAAACTATTTGGGTGTCAGGGATAAACTATTTTGCTAGAACAGGGGAAAAAAAGGATTTTTTTAATAGTCGCCTAATTTCCAAGACATTCTCTCTACTAGGGTATAGCTAAAATCAGAGGAAAATCTTAACTACATCAGGGTTACAAACATGGCAAAAAGTAAAAATAGACTTTGACAGGTATTGTGCAAGTTCTGCTCTCCAAGGTGAACACATCATGGCAACTGCTGCTGTCCAGGTGAGGTGAATAAAATCCAATCGTGTTTTTTTCCCAAAAACATTTATACAGTTAGTCCTCGGCTTATGACAACTGAGCCCAAAATTTCTGTGGTTAAGCAAGACAGTTGTTCAGTGAATTTTGCCCCATTTTATGACCTTTCTTGCCACAGCTGTTAAGTTAATCCCTGCAAGTTGTTAAATTACTAACACAGTTGTTAAGTGAATCCGGCTTCCCCATTGACTTTGCTTGTCAGAAGGTCGCAAAAGCTGACCACATGACCCCAGGACACTGCGACCGTCATAAATATGAACCAGTCTTAAGGGCATATGATGCACACAACCATTCATATTTGGTTCTGACAGCCCCTTAGGCACAGCATTCTGAGCACCATTGTGGGCAAAACATTTGGTGCAACTGTATTATATAACATTGAATATAATCACCTATAGTCCTGTATATGAAGCAGTTAATGCCATCATTTTTCACCTTGTTAGGGAGTTCAGAGAGATAAACCCATACAGATTACAGGCGATGTATAATAATGCTGTAGGTGGTTAAAAAGAAATTGGACTTAATTAAGACTCTTTGAGAGAGATGGGCAGCTCAGAAATGTCTCTGTGTGTGTGTGTGTGTGTGAGAAAGAGAGGGGGAGGAATCCAATAGATCTATCATGTTAAACCAAATGATAGGGCTGTTTTACTTTTCTGCCCTCTCCTCTCACAATGTAACAAACATCACCAGGTTTTATAAATATTCAAGGGTGCTCTTGAGACACAGATTCTCACAAACACTGTTTCACGAAAGAAGCCCAAAAGTAGATTTTTCCCAAGACGCAACAAACAGGAAGGAGGTAAAAGAGGAGATAAGAATCTATAAATTAAATAAAAAGAGCTGCTTTTCCTATTGCTTTAGAATAGTTTTGAGATATGCAGATTCCGTTTTGATGTCATTACCCAAAACAGGACTCTCAAAAAAAAAAATCATATCCCTGACAGCAATTATTTCAGTCTTATGAGAGCCAATATAAAGAAAGAAAAAAAGAATAAATTTGTTGTGCAAATTGAGAAGAGTACTACGATATCCCAGAAATCCCTAGAACCAATTAAAAAAAAAGTTTTCCAGGAATATAGACATGCCAAATTAGAGGCTTAACAGTGAAACTCAAATAAAAATCAGACACAAAGCTGAGATTCATTCTAGCCCACTGTTTCTCAATTGCAGCAAGGTTAAATGTGTGGACTTCAATTCCCAGAATTCCCCAGTCAGCATGCCTGGGAGTTGAAGTCCACGTATCTTAATGTATCCGAGATTGAAAAATACTGGTCCAGACTGATTACAAAAACATAAGGTCTTGAGTTCTACTTTCGGAAGAAAAAAGAACAGCTGAAAAGGTGAAAGTGGAATTGGAGGAAAGGGTCAGGAGACTGAGATAGGGCGGACTGGCAAGGACAAGGAAGAAAAAAACCAACTGGAAATGTTGCAGATCAATCCTCAGCTAGATACCTTGCAGACCTGTCAATCAGAAAGTCTGTGAATTATGGAGTCCAATGGCGAGGCATCTAGAAGGCAAAAAGGTTCTCTCTGCCTTTTTAAAAAAAAAAATAATAATAATCGCCTAACAGAAAAGCAATATATTTCTCAGGAATTTTTTTCTGATATTCAGAAAGATAACAGAAGGATGGAATAATGGAAAAACAGAAATTCAGAAGGAAGCGGGCAAAGAAACTTTCTGTTATCAACCGCAACTACTACAAAGGACGGTCTTACATATAAAAACTGCCACTGATGAGTGTGTGGCTTAATAATCTAAAAAAAAAGACATAATTCAGGAGCCTCCCTACCACTATAACTTAGGCCCGTCAAGTGAGGTCTGAACCAAACATCAAAGATTAGTGGTTCTGATTATGACTTTTTTTTATCCTATTTTTTACACGAATAACCAACAACATTTAGGTCTTATCACTGCCAACCAATGCTACGAGGCGGACAGGAGAATACAGGATGCCACCAGGTCAGGAAAAAATTATTTCAGACTTTATGAGAGAGAAAAATACAGTGGCCATTTTCAAATCCCAAGCTGCTTTTTCGGGTTCTATTTTTTAAATAAAAACACCATGCAATTTGGCCCTTTTGATTTTATTTGTCATTTAGCATA